CACACACACACACACACACACACACACACACACACACACCGATATCTCTACATCTTAGCTGCTTCTCTTCCCACAACTTTGCATTTTTCTAAAAATCTTTCTTAAAATTTTGAATCAGAAACTACAACATTTATTTCTTGTTACGTTTACATTACTTTAAAAGAAAAGGACACCTTCGAATTGGTGCACTGTTACTAGCTAATAATAATAGTTACATAAATGAACCGCATACATGAACTTTATATGTAATACTGTGAAAGCAGAATATTCTCCAATAGCTCCAACATATTCGAACTGGCACAAAATCACAGCACTGAAGGAAAAAACAATCATAGGCATCGTCCGCTCAATGTTATTGTTAAAGGTAATATTGAATCAGATACCCTAGCAGAAGCCATTAAAGGCGTTTTAATGGCTGGCTCAGTAATAAATTGAGCTGAAGTTTTAGACTGTTTTGCTTTCTAACATTTAACTGAGCCATCGTTAGCCTGTTCTAGGCCTCAGTCACACAGGCTAAGAGTTTAGTTGCCAAACCTTTGGCAGACGCAGGTCAATAGGGAAAAATGCATGTTCCCTCAATAGCTGGTGAGCGGATTGTTGTTTCTTGGTGATGGTTGCTGCACAAAAAACCCCCCGTGTGATTGTTTTGGTTGCTCGAAGAATGCTTCCATCGCCTGGACTTTGCAGCGAAGACTACCAAGTGATAGTGAAACTTAAAACAGTGCGATTAAGATCAGAAACGGTAAGACTCGTGTTGTTCTCTGAGGCTCGCTGGACTTGGGAGCTCAGTCTTTAACGTATTCTACAGATGTGTGGTGAAGGAGTCCTCTGCTTCTGCATCACTGTGTGGCATGGCAGAAAATAAGTCTTTGCTGACGATCGGTCCAACACCACCACCATCAACTCCAGCAGATGCAGGAAAAGTGTCTTCTGCATCTTGAAAGACCTTACTCACCCAGCACACACACTGTTTGTTTCACTTCCCTCAGGCAGGAGGCCGTGGAGCATCAACAGCAGGACCCCCAGACTGAGGAAGACCTTCTTCCCTGAGGCTGTAAGACTGCTGACCTCAGGTGGTGCTCTGTAGTCTGCTGCTACAAGCTAAAGATGACAGGCATGAGAAACCACTTGAGTCTTCACACTAGTCACTGCACTTTCTTTGAAACTTGTAAACTGTCACACTGTCATTTTATTATTGATAGTTAATTCACGTGGCTATGATGCTTCTTTGGTCCCAAATAAAAGCCAAGAAGGTTAAAAATATAATAGAAATTTATGCAAAAAAGAAATGCAGCTTTTAAGGCCTTTACACACTGGAAGCGTCCGTGTGATTATTTTGTGCAATAAAACATTTTTCAGACTCACCAATCCTAAATGCAACCCTCCACACTGACCAAGTAATTTCCTTGGATGAGTTTATTTAGTTATTTTTTCAAACCAATTTTTCAGATCCGAATAAATAGATCTGACCAGTCAGACCACAGCATTTGGCAACAATACACCCATAGCTCAAAACACGCACTGGTACTGAACATACAATGATATGAAAATAGTGAAATAACACTAGTTTATGTCAAACGCTCGGTGTAATGGCCTTTTCTTTGATCTCCTCACTGTGTGACTGATTAGACAAGCTGGCATCTCTCATGCAAACTACAGGCAATCGGGTAGCGACTGGAGAGGTTTCTGGCACAGCACCGTAACCTTGTGACTAATTTCACCTAGCAACTGCCGGAAACCACTCCCCAACCTGTTGGTAGAACACACATTTCTCCATAGCAACGGGTGGTAACCAAGGAGTTGCAGACCAGACTCTAAGCCTTTGTGACTGAGGTCTTTCCTTTGCTATTCCTTTTACAGTGAGTCCAAACGTCTGCCATGAAAATAAAACCCTACATTTTTTTACTTTAAAGCTTTTAAATGTCCCAGAGGAGACGTTTGCTAACAGGTGGCTAAATGAGCGTGGCACCGTTATGGCTCGCTCATTAGCAGATACTTTATTGTGTGTTTAATCCACGTTCTTACTTTTTACCAAAGCTAGAAATGGTTAAGTGCTTCTTAACAAACACATGGGTTTTCCTTTTAAATACATATATTTAGCTTTTGTCATGTAACAGCTGTTCTCCATCTAACTATGACTGAGAAATGAGTTTTCGGTGAAAGCAGCTTACTTGGCGCGGCACTATGTCACCCTGTCGATGATACTAGAAAATGATTATTTAAATGCCATTTATTATCTCTTCACAATGCGAGGGTGAGAGGGCAGTCGGGGAAAACTACACAGCGGTGGTCAGTGGCCGGCACGGGGGACCCCTCATAGGGCAAAGAGGTGAGGGAGGTGAGGCCTGGGGTGCTTTAATAAGAAAAAAAGGAAGAAGACAGATGAGACGAGATGGAGAGGATTCGCTGCAGATGGCTGCCGCGGCCTGACCGAGTCCTTTCCAGCTTTCTCCTGTCCTCGGAGGACACAAATCACCAGTTCTCTGCCTCCCGGTGTCACTCTTCTATAGAGCCTCTGAGCTCCCTGTGGCTTTTCAAAGCCTCGGCTGCTGTTCACTGACTTTTATCGGTCCTCTGGGAACCAACATGCACCAAAACCCTGCTGCCATTCTTCCCATAGATGGTCTCCAAAGACATTATCTGTCCGAGCTGTGCTGCACTTTTCTGCCTCAGTCCCTGCTTTAAGTACATATTTAAAAAAGAAAGCATGTTCAGGTGTTAATACGAAGAGCAAAACAGTTGCTTTCCAAACTGTATATCCAGCATATTCAGCTATTGGCAAGCAAGGGCAAGGAGCATATTACTGGGTAATTAGGTCACATTAGTGTGTGGTGGTCATAATAATAAA